CACTTTAATTCAAGCCTATCATTTCCCACCTGGATTATTGCAGAATCCTTCTAACTGGTTTCCCTGCTTCTGTCCCTGTTTGTTCTCCTAGTCAATTATTTTATTTTTCATCATTTTTTATTGTGTGATTAATACAGTCTCAGGAAAGTACATAAAATATGTACAGTTTAGCAATTGTTATAAAGTGAAAACTGTTGTAACTAACACCCAGGTCAAGAAATAGCCCCCCAGGAGTCCTGCCCCCATGATTTTTACTAATCACTGTTTCCTCCCTCCTGCCAGAATTATTATCTCAACTTTTATGGTAATTTTCTTATTTGCTTTGCTTTAGAGTTTTAAATCTTAAGCATGCTTCATTAAGCAATGTGGTTTACTGTTGCCTTTGTGTTGCTTTTTTCCTTCTCTTAATACTGTCTTTTGTTGAACAGAGATTTTTTTTTAATCACGTTATTTTGAAATAATTTCAAACTTAAAGTTGCAAGAATGTAAGAAATGCCTGTATAACCTTTTACCCTGATTCATTAGTTTTTTACATTTTGTCACGTTTGCTTTAACTTTTGTGTTCTCTCTCTATCACATGTTTTAATTTTTTCTTAACCATTTGAGAGTGGTTTGCATACATCATGGCCCTTTACCCCTTAATGCTTCAGTGTATAATTCTTAAGAATTAGAATCTTTTTTTTTTTTTTTTTTTTTTAAATATAACCGCAGTTACTAAGTTCAAGAAGTTAAACACTACAAGACAAGGATTCCCTTTATCACCACTCCCATTTAACATTGTGCTGGAAGTCCTAGCTAGAGCAATACAGCAGGAAAAGGATGTAAAGGGCATCCAGACTGGAAAGGAAGAAGTAAAACCATCCCTATTCACAGGTGATCTGATCCTGTACATAGAGCACCCCAAAGATTCCACAAGAAAACTACTGGAACTAACAGAAAGATTCAGCAGAGTAGCAGGATACAAGATAAACATACATAATATCAATTGGATTCCTATACACCAACAAAGAGAACTTCAAAAAGGGAATTAAAAAAAAATACTATTTATAATAGCTCCTAAAAAGATAAAACACTTAGCAATAAGTCTAACCAGGGATGTAAAAGACTTATACAAAGAAAACTACAAAACAGTACTGCAAGAAACCAAAAGAGACCTACAAATGGAAAAAATGGATAGGAAGACAACATGGTAAAAATGTGAATTCTGCCCACAATGATCTACAGATTTAATGCAATCCTGATTCAGATACCAACAGCATTCTTTAAGAAGATGGAAAAACTAATCACCAACTTTATATGGAAAGGAAAGACGCCCCGGATAAGCAAACCATTATTGAAGGAAAAAAAACAAAGTAGGAGGCCTCACAGTACCTCATCTTAGAACCTACTATACAGCCATGGTAGTCAAAACAGCCTGGTACTGGCACAGTGACAAACACATAGACCAATGGAAGAGAATTGAGAACCAGACATAAATCCATCTGCCTATGATCAGCTGATCTTTGACATAAGGCTCAAAGTCCATTAAATGGAGAAAAGAGTCTTTTTAACAAATGGTGGTGGCAAAACTGGATGTCCATCTTTAAAAAAATGAAACAAGACTCATACTTCACACCATACACAAAACTAATTCACAATGGATCAGAGGCCTAAATATAAAACCTAAAATGACAAAGATCATGGAAGAAAAAATAGGGACAACGCTAGGGAGCCTAATACATGGCATAAATTCAGTACAGTCGTAACTGACAGTGCACAGACACCAGAAGAGAAACTAGATAAACGGGAGCCCCTAAAAATTAAACACTTATGTTCATGAAAAGACTTCACCAAAAGAGTAAAAAGAGAACCTACAGACTAGGAAAAAATTTTGGGCATGTCCAAACAAGAGTCTAATCTGTAAAATCTATAGAATACTTCAACACCTCAGTAACAAAAAGAAAAAAATCTAATTAAAAAATGGGCAAAGGGTATGAAGAGACACTTCACCAAAGAAGACATTCAGGCAACTAACAGACATGTGAGGAAATGCTTGCCATCAGTAGCCATTAGAAAAATGCAAATCAAAACTACAGTGAGCTACCATCTCACCTCGACATTACTGGCGCTAATAAAAAAAACATAGCATAACAAATGTTGGAGAGATTGCGGAGAGGAGATTGAAACTTATGTGCTGCTGGTGGGAATGTAAAATGGTACAACCACTATGGAAAACGATATGGCACCTCCTTAAAATGCTAGAAAAAGCACTACTATATGATCCAGCAATCCCAATCCTAGGAAGATATCCTATAGAAATAAGAACCATCACACGAATAGGCATATGCATGCCCCTGTTCATTACTGCGTTATTTCACAGTAGCAAAAGATGGAAACAACCTAAGTGTCCATCAACAAATGAATGGATAAACAAATTATGGTACATACACAGAATGGAATAGTATGCAATGATAAAGAATAGTGATGAATCCGTGAAATATCTTACAACACGTATGAATCTGGAGGGCGTTACACTGAGTGCAATAACTCAATCACAAAAGGACAAATATTGTATGAGACCATTATTATAAAAACCTATGAAAAGGTTTACACACAGAAAAAAAATCTTTGATGGTTATGGGGAAGGGAAGAGGCGGGGAGGGGAAATCACGAACTAGAGAGTAGACAAGTGTTAATTTTGGTGAAGGGAAAGACAACACACAATATAGAGGAAGTCAGCACAACTTGACCAAGGCAAAGCCATAGAAGCTTCCTAAACACATCCAAACACCTGAGGGACCAAGTTTCTGGGGCTGAGTGCCATGGATCATAGTCTCGGGGGACATCTAGGTCAATTGGCATAACATAGTTCATAAAGAAAATGTTCTATATCCTACTTCGGTGAGTAGCGTCTCGGGTCCTAAAGGCTTGCAGGTGGCCAGTGAAGATACAACTATTGGTCCCAGCACATTCAGAACAAAGGAGAATGAAGAAAACCAAAGACACAAGGTAAATATTAGTCCAAAGGACTAACGAACCACGTAAACCGTAGCCTCTACCAGCCTGAGCCCAGAAGAACTAGATGGTGCCCTGCTATCATCACTGACCACTCTGACAGGGATCATGATACAGGGTTCCTAACAGAGCAGGAGAAAAATGTAGAACAGAATTCAAATTCACAAAAAAGACGAGACTTAGCAGTCTGACAGAGACTGGGGGAAACCCCGAGACTATGGCCCCCGGACACCCTGCTAACTCACAACTGAAGCCACACTCCTGAAGTCCACCTTTCTGCCGAAAATTAGACTGCACTATAAAACTAACAATAACACGTATGAGGAACGTGCTAATTAGTTCAATCAAGTATATGAGACCAAATGGGCCACATCTGCCCAAAAGCAAAGACAAGAAGGCAGGAAGGGTCAGGAAAACTGGATGAATGGACATGGAGAACCTAAGGTAGAAAGGAACAGGGGAGAGTGCTGAGACATTGTGGGTATTGCAGCCAATGTCACAAAACAATTTGAGCATAATTTTTGAATGAGAAACTAATTTGCCCTGTAAACTTTCACCTAAAACACAATGGAAAAAAAAAAAAAGTTTAACACTGATACAGTAACTTTATGTACTCTGATTCTGTTCCAGTTTTGTCACTTATCCCAGTAATATCTTTTATATTATTTTTCTTCCAGTACAGGATCCATTTTGGGATTACTTATTACAACCTTAAAAATTAGATTTGTCTGAAGTATGGGGAAACATCTATACCCTTATTGCTAGGGATATAAATTCATACCACTTCTTTTGAAGGCAACCTGACAACATACGTTAAATTGAAAGCATTAACACCCTCAGATGCAGTAATTCCACATACACATGTTGTTTTGTAGACATACCAGCACACTTACCTAGGGATGGCTGTAGTAGGATATTTATTGCAGAATTATTTGTTATGGCAAAATACTGGAAGCAACCTAAATGACCATCAGTGGGGACCGTTAAATACATTATATACATGTCCTACTATACTGGTAGAGAATGAGCTTCAAGCTATACTATTAGGTTAAAATTTTTTATTTAAAAGCAAGTTTCAGAATGGTGTGTACAGGATACTGTTAGGAAAAAAAAATGTTTGTGTTAGAAAATAAAGAGTACGGATAGGTACATAAATGTTCATATATGCATGGTGTCTCGGTAAGGAGAGAAGAAATTCACCAGTGATTGCTTTTGGGGAGGATAGGAGGCCTTGGGATAAGGGCTTAGAAGCAGACTGTCTTTCCACTATATCCTCTTATTCTGGTGGTGCAATGGTTAAAGTGCTCGGCTGCTAACTGAAAGGTCAGCTGTTTGAACCCACCAGCTGCTCTGCAGGAGAAAGATGTGGCAGTCTCCTTCCCTAAGGATTTACAGCCTTGGAAGCCCTAAGGGGCAGTTCTACTCTGTCATTTCAGGTCACTATGAATTGGAATCAACTCGATAGCAGTGGGTTTTTATTATCTTTAAATTAGACACTAAAAATTAAAAACCCGCAACCCTTTCATAACACCAGAACACTAATTATTAGTGTCTTTCAGTGGCTTCATCTTTTATTAGCTGGTTAATCTTAGGCAAGTTGCATACCCTCTTAGTTCTCAGTTTTCTTATCTGTAAGTCGGGATGATAATTGTACTTAGGTATTAATGCCATCATCCGTGTAAAGTGCTTAGACAAGTGCTTAGAGCACAGCAAGCTCTGAAGAAGGGCCACCTGTTGCTGTATTCTGCAGATGAGTGAGTGAAATGTTAGCCACACTGCAAGTCAGTTTGCTGAGGTAGAACCATGCAACACAGATTTTTTTAATAGAAGGACCATGTGTAAAACTTGGCCTTTAGTTTGGATGGGCATCTTTGAGCTGCGTCCTAGCCTGGTTCTGCCACCATGTCACTACTTTCTCTGCATTTGTCTCCTTGGCTGTATGAACTCTAGGCCTCCATCTAGCTCTGGTGTTCTGAGAGTGACCATTGTGAAATCTCTGATTTCAGGACACTTCCTACCTGTTCATCACTGGCCCTGATGTTGTAAAGTCTGTCACCAATGAGAATGTTACCCAGGAGGAGCTTGGTGGTGCCAAGACCCATACCACCATGTCAGGTGAGAGGCCTCGAGGCTGATGGTACTGTTTTTTAAACCCTGAGAAGAGGACATTGCCAAAGAGAATGGTGACAGTTTTTTAAAAATAACCCTTAATTTGCAGAGTTTATTTGGGAAGACTATAGACTGATGTATTGATTTACAGATATAGTAATAAAGGTAGATTTACTATCCCAAATTTGTTGAAACTAATTACTAATGCTTTATGTGGGCAGTGGTGGTTGAGTGATAGAATTCTTGCCTTCCATGAGGGAGACCTGGGTTTGATTTCTGGCTGGTGCACCTCATACGCAGCCACCACACCCTTCTGTCAGTGGAGGTTTGTGTGTTGCTATGATGTTGAACAGGTATCAGTGAAGCTTCTAGACTTAGACTGATTAGGAAGAAAGGACTGGCAATCCACTTCCGAAAATTGGACAGTGAAAGCCCTCTGCATCACAACAGTCCGATCCACGAACCACTGTGGGGATGGTGCAGGACTGGGCAGCATTTCTTTCTGTTGTGCATGGGGTTGCAGTAGGTCAGAGGCCAGCTTGACAGCAGCCAACAACACTACCGCCACTGCCAATTAATGTTTTAGGATTCTTAAAAATAATTTTAAAGCTAATTGGAATGGTGGTTATAAGTAAGTGTGATTTATATGTGTACAGTTGAACATTTAAAATACATGTTTTATTTTGACTTTTTTTACTCTGAAGTTGGAGTATGTTTTGGAGTAGATGGTGTTTAACCAGTCAAGATTGGCCAGGTATAGTCGTAATGTAGTGGTCAAAGCCTGTGTATGCGTGAACTTGGTCATAGTTCTTTACCTCTGTGAGGTTATGTGCCACACATACTGAGTTTAAAATGTATAAAGATTATTCTGTGTTGTGGCATTGAAACAAAAGTTTTTGTTTCTACAGAAGAGCAAGGAAATGAGAGCAGGGCATGAATCTGACGTTAGTGAAGAAATATTTGCTGTTGGCATAATTATTGCAATTCTGTATTTTCTTGGGGAAAAAACCCCAAGTAGATGAAGTTGTGTTATGTTTTTTAACCAAGTTGCAAAAGAATTGCTTACTACACATCAAGCAGTGTAACTAAAGATGGGAGAAATTGCCTCAGTGAAAGATTTAAAGCAATGAGAAGCTGGTGTGACCGCTTTATGTACCATGCTGGACTGTGGTTGAAGCATTGAATCATGGTTTCATTGTCAGCATTTCCTTCTTATTTTGTTAGTTGCCTTTGAGTAGATTCTGACTCATGGTGACCCCATATATGCAGAGTAGAATGCTCCTCCGTAGGATTTCATGGCTGTGACCTTTTAGAAGCAGATCGCCAGGTTTGTCTTCTCGGGTGCCTCTAGGTTAGTTCAAACCACCAACCTTTTTGCTAGTAGTTGAGCGCTTAACCATTTGTGCCACCCAGGAACTCCTATGTTCTTCTTTGTGTACATAAAAGAGAGATGTGTCTTACTATCACTGAAGACTTAGATTTGATGAAATACAGTTTAAAAAATTCAGAGTTTAGATTCCTTCCCCGTCTCAGGTTGACATAAGCCTTAACTCATTCCTTTCCCTCACCCATCTGTTCCATCTCTAATACACATCCAGAATCAGAACATTTGTCATTGCTGACTCTTACCACAACCTGTCTTCACTCTTTCATCTCAGGGCTTATTGGCAGCAGTTTTCTTTTCCTACTAGTATATAAAATAATGTTGAGTCTTGGTGTCTTGAATTTAATGAAATATGCTCTTTGTTTCTCCTGATTTCAATACTATTATGTTTGTGGTAGAAAATATAGGAAATACAGGAATAAATTCACCAGGAATTCCATCATCCATGGGTAATCACCACTAAGTTTTTGGTATATACTCGTGCAGTCTCTTCATGCTGTGATGGGTGTAAATATGGGTGCATTCATATAGTCCTGTAACCTGTTTTTACTCAACAGCTTACAGAAATGGACATCTGCCCATGACATTAAATTTTTTTCTGCAGTACAATTTTAGGTTTTTTATTTTATTTCTTACAGTTTTAGACTTTTTAAAGGTAGCATGTGGTGTTATTTCTGGACCTGAGGCTCTCTGATGGGCTGTTTCTGACATGCCTGGCCCTGTATCCCCTGAGCAAGATCCAAAAGGTGCTCTATAAATATTTCTTTCTTCTTTCTTTTTTTGTAACAGTTTTATTGAGATATAATTTACATACCACTCAGTTAACCCATTTAAAGTATTTCAGTGGTTTTAATATATTCAGAGTAGTACAGTCATCACTACATAAATTCCAGAACATTTTCATCACCCCAGAAAGAAACTCCATACCCTTTAGCTTTCACCTCCTAATCCCCTTGTCTGCCCCAGCCCTACCAAAAAAGAAACCAAACCCGTTGCCATCGAGGCAATTCCAACTCATAGTGACCCTATAGGACAGAGTAGAACTGCCCCATAGGGTTTCCACGGAGCGTCTGATGCTTTCGAACTGACTTTTGGTTAACAGCCGTAGCTCTTAACCAGTATACCACTAGGGTTTCCCCACCAGCCCTAGGCCACCCCTAATCTACTTTTTGTCTCTATAGATTTACCTACTCTGGACATTTTATATAAACGGAATCATACAATATATGGCATTTTGTGTCTAGCTTCTTTCTTTTGGCATAATGTTTTCAGAGTTCATCCATGTTATAGCATGAATCGGTACTTCACTCCTTTTTATTGCTAAATAATATTCCATTGTATGGATATACCACATTTCACTTATCCATTGGTGGACATTTGTGTTGTTTCTACTTTTCGGCTATCATGAATAAGTCTGCTTTCAACATTCATGTATAAGTTTTAGCGTGGACATATGTTTTCACTTCTCTTGGGTATATATCTAGGAGTGGAATTTCTGGGTCCAATGATAATTCTGTGTTTACCATTTTGAAGAACTGCCAGACTTTTTCCAGGGTGGCTGTACCAGTTTATAAATATTTCTTGAATTAAAGAACTCTGTCATGTTAAAAATGCTTTTTTTTTTCATTCAACAAATATTCATTCAGTCCCTATGTGTCAAGCATTGCTCAAGAATATATCAGTGGCGGAAACAAAAAAGACCCTTACCTGTGTGGGGCTTATGAACATTATAAATAAGTACATATATAATATGTTAAAGGTAATAATACATGATTTGAAAAAAGTAGAACAAGGTAAATGGAGTTGGAATGGTTGCAGTTTCAAATACAGTGCTAAGGGTAGACCTCAACGTGAGGGTAACATTTGAGCAAATTTGAAGGAATTAGCTGTCTGAAGGGAACAGCCTATGCAAGGGCCCTGAGGTAGGAGAGTGGCTGACATGCTCAAGGAACAGCAAGGAGGATGGTTGGAGCAGACACATCACATGATCTGACTTAAAGGCTCACTGTGGTTGTCACGTGGAGAACAGAGTGAGGGACTATGGTGGAAGCAAGGAGTCCAGTGGAAGTGGACGTGCGAGAGAGTTCTTGGCCCCACTTTCTATCAATTCTGTGGCCTCGTTTGTCTGTTCTGTGATTTCAGAACGTTTTTCAGGAATGATGGCTCTGACGCATCACTAGGGCCAAGTGGTTCTCCCCTTTCCTCCCACCATTGCTGGGCACCTGTTGTGTGTTAGGCATTATTCTCTCTGTGAAGCTACAGTAGTAAATAAGACAGACCTGGTCTCTACTTTGTTGGTGCTGATATTCTAGGGGAGATGTCAGGCGGTATCTTAGTTATCTAGTGCTGCTATAAAAGAAATACTGCAAGTGGATGACTTTATCAAACAGAAGTTTATACTCTCACAGTCTAGTAGGCTAGAAGTCTGAATTCAGGGTGCCAGCTTCAGGGGAAGCCTTTCTGTCTCTGTCGGCTCTGGAGGAGGGCCCTTGTTGTCAGTCTTCCCTTAGTCTAGGAGCTTTCTCTGCACAGGGATCCTGGGTCCAAAGGACACACTCTGCTCCTGGCACTACTTTCTTGGTAGTATGAGGTCCCCCTGTCTCTCTGCTTGCTTCTTCTTTATATATCTTAAAAGAGATTGACTCAAGATACAATCTAATCTTGCAGATTTTCTGCCTCATTAACATAACTGCCTCTAATCCTGCCTCATTAACTTCACAGAGGTAGGATTTACAACACGTAGGAAAATCACATCAGATGACAGATGGTGGACAATCACACAATATTGAGAATCATGGCCTAGCCAAGTTGACAAACATTTTTGGGGAACACAGTTCAATCCATAACTGGCAGTAAACAGGGAAAGAAACAGTCAAGTGCTACAGGGACCAGTACGTGAACTCCCATGTTGTGCATGGAGATGGAGAGGAGAGTGAGGAGCGTGGGACAGGTGCATTCTAGACAGGGAGCCAGAGAAGGCCTCTCTGAGGAGGTGACAGTAGAGAAGAGACCTGAGTGAAGAATGACCCCTGCAGAGATGTGGGTACAGGGCAGAGGGAGTAGCCCACATGAATTGAGGATCAGCTCAAAGGTGAGCATCTCATCCTTAGTCGCTGGGGGAGGAGGAAGGAGGAGGACAGCACTCACTATCTGCTGCAGACAAGCCTAGAAAGGGGGCATGAAGCAGCATCTTTGGTCTGATTGGTGCCCTGGCCTATTTTTATCTTCCTGCTTTCTCAGGCGTGGCCCATAAAGCTTTTGAAAATGATGTTGATGCCTTGTGCAATCTACGGGAGTTCTTCAACTACCTGCCCCTTAGCAATCAGGACCCGGCTCCCATCTGTGAGTGCCATGATCCCAGGTGAGTGTCAGGGCAGAACATCTGCTCTCATTTTGCAGCACAGCTTGCCCTTCTCTGGCCCCTCAGCCCTGGCAGGACCTCCATGGTTTGTCCTGTTGGAGCAGGTTGTGGAGTGGAGTCAGTGTGGCTCCTAGGTTTGGGGATTGTGGTGGCACATCTGGGCAAAGGAGCAAAGAAAGATGATTTTATTAACTTTTTTCCTCTTTGTAATATCTGATACTATCTTGGGAATACGGAGTGGCAATAAAAAAAAAGATTTCTAAGAGACACTTCAGTTGTCAGGAATTGGGGATAGAAGTTTTTGTGTCTTGATATGAAATAAATAAATGTGAAATGATACAGCATACCTTTTAGGAAAGTATTTATGCACACCTCCTTGGGACCAGAGGCTGGGGTGGTCCTGGAGAAGGGTGTGTTGCTGACCACCTAATACAGATCTTCTTTCCCTCTTGCTGTTGGGGCCACTGCCTGACATAGGGTGGAGGGAGGGAAAGCACTACTGAGTAAGCCAGCAGCCCAGCCCGGGAACTACTGCTCCAGACCTCTGTCTGCTTTATTCTCCATTTTGTTTCATCTCCAGATTAGAAGCACTCACTTGGCCTGGATTTTCTTCTGCAGAAGGGATATGGAATTATATCCCCTGGGAAGAAGCCATTTTCAGACAGTGCCTTCAGCCATTGCCAGGAATGCTTTGAAGAGAGTAGTGTCCCTAGGCCCCACTCTGCCTCTGCCCCACTCGGTGAAGGAGAGGGTGGTCACAGGGCTCAGAAGCAATGGGCAGAGCCTCCTTTTCTGAGCATCTGTATTACACTAAAACCTGTAGAAGCTGGAACCTGTGTAAGGCAGAAACCTGTCAATGAAGGAAAACGCAGATATTTTCCAGTAAAACGAGCGATAGAAAAGTGAGAAGACTGCATACTGTCAAAGGCAGAAAACTTACGGGACCCAGAAAAACAAGGCTGTCTCATCGAGTTTCGGCTCTTACAGGTTTCACTGTATTTAGGGTTCTTGAGGGGTTTAGGACATCATTTGAAGGTGTTATGACCCCTAGACCCAGAAGTGTCTGAATAGCCTGCTTTGGCCCAGCCATACCTCTTCTCCATGTGGTCTCAGGGGAGCGCTATGCATAAGTGACAAATGAAAAGTAAGGAATGGCTTTATTATTAGGTGGGGCTGTGCCCAATACAAAGAGCCCTGGTGGCACAGTGGTTAAGCACTTGGCTGCTAACTGAAAGGTCGACAATTCAAACACACCAGCTGCTCCGCTGGAGAAAGATAGTAGCAGTCTGCTTCTGTAAAGATTACAGCCTTGGACACCCTGTGGGGCAGTTCTCCTCTGTTCTACAGGATTGCTGTGAGTTGAAATCTACTTGATGGCAGTGGGTTTGGTTTTGGTTTGGTGGGTGCTTAATACCTCAGGGCAGAGCTCTCTGGAAGCTGGGCTTGATGGGACGCATGGCCTGGCTCCATATGGGACGGGACAGGAAGGACTTGAGAGCCTGTTGGAGAGAGGAGGTTATAGAGGGACATGTTGCTGGTCCTTTTGCAGTGTGGGAGCAGGCCCTGCTCAGCCTCCCTGCCCACCCACATAGACACAGAAGGAAGGAGTCTGTGTGTGAGCATTTAGCCCACAGTGATCTTGCCCACCAGAGGGCTTGCACTTTTGCTTTTTTAAGGAGTTTTAGCAGCAGGTTAATCTTCTAACAGGGAATGTGAATCCAGTGGTCTCTACAGAACTTCTTATTTTGTGTTTCCAAGCCCTTGTTTGGTTTTTAATGTCTGAGGAAATTAGAGTGGGAACTCTGGGCCCAGTGTCGTCTTCGCTACAGTGTCCTTCAGTGCCTCATACAGTACCTGGAATGTAGCAAGTGTTTCAGAGAAGGTAAATGAAGGACTCATATTCAGGAGAGTAAGCCCATTTTCTCTTTTAAAAGAACACTAAATGGTGTCTTGAGTTGGTGTGAGTCTTAGGCTGAGTTTAATATGGTGGTTACAAAGGAATGCAGCTTTGGTGACTGCTTTGCAAGCCCAGCATGGACAGACCGGTGCCATTCCCATAATGTATCTACCCCTTCTCCCTCCTCACCTCTCATGAAGGCAGCTAGCTTGTTTCCTGTTGACTCTATCTGCCTGTTTTTTGTCCATAGTGACCGTGTGGTTCCTGAGCTTGACACAATTGTCCCTTTGGAGTCTACCAAAGCCTATGACATGGAGGACATCATACACTCTGTAAGTACTGCATCTGTCTTGCCAGTGCTAACTTGACCATGTCCATGGCCATTGTGTTGCAGCCTAGTAAGGAAGTGCTGGGACCTCCGGCCCTGATGTTGGGCCACGCAGGTGAGTCATGGGGTGGAAATGGGAGCAGGGGCCACTGAGTATTGTGTTCCAGGAAGAGCCAGTGGCTGTAGTCACCTTACTGGGCTCAGATGGACTTGAAGGCTGGAGGGAGGACAAGCCAATTGAGCCAGCTGAGCTCTGGGGTCTTTAGGAAGGTACTCTGAGGTGTGTAGAGAAGGGACCATGTCCCTAGAGTCTGGAGTGAGGCCAGGGTGGCCCTTTGTTAGGCACATTTGTGTGGGGCCTTATGCTCAGAGGACATTTGTCTTTCTAGAGAAAGGAGAGGAGTCCCTGGGTGGTGCAAATGGTTAAACACTCAACTAGTAGCTGAAAGATTGGCAGTTTGAACCCACCCAGAGGCACCTCAGAAGACAGGACTGGTGATCTGCTTCTGAAAGGTCACAGCCTTGAAAACCCAGTGGAGCAGTTCTATCCTGCACACATGGCATCACTGTCAGTGGAAATCGACTTGATGGCAACTAACAACAAAAACAGCAACAAAGAGACAGGAGAGTAAATGGGAGATCTGTGGCATGGTTGGGGTGTGTGTGGTGGTGGTGGTGGTGGGGGGTCTGGGGAGAACAGGAGCCATTTTTACCTTTTTCTTGATGCAGCAGATTCCATCACATACAAAAACCTGGAAGCCTCCTTCCTGCTCTCTCCCAGCCATCACTTTTCCCCCAACCCTCTGGGGATAATCACTATTTTGACTGCTAACAGAACAGATTTCTGTGTGTTTTACGTTATATAAATGAAATCATACAGCATATGGTTCTTTTGTGTCTGGTTTCTCTTGCTCAACATTATGTTTTTAAGATTGGTCCATATTATCGCACCTAGTTTTAGATTGTTTGTTCTCATTGGTTGTTGATCTCTTTATTGTTGGTCTCATTAGTCTGTTGTATGGGTAGACAACAGTTTATTTATGCAGTCTACTGTTGATAGGCATTTTGATATGAACATTTTATTACATGATTTTTGGTAATCTTATATGTCTGTTGGCTATATACCTAGGAGTGATCACAGGGTATGCGTACATTCAATTTTTGTAGATAACTGCCAAAAGGTTTTTGAGTTTACATTCCCACCAGCAGCGTATGAGGTTTCCAGTTCCTTCACATTCCCACCAACACTTGGCTGCCATACTGTTTTTTTTGTTTGTTTGCTTTTCCTGTGGTCCATTTTACTTCTGATGGGATTAGCATCAAGGAAAAACCAGTCGTGCACAGTCTAAGATATAAACATCAGAACAAAGCAGCAATTGTGAGTCATTCGATTAATATATTGAAGTGACTTTTGGTTGCTCAAAAATAATACAGTTTTTTTCAGCTTAGTAAACAAATTATTTTGGTTTATCAAATGCATTCTAGAATGATTTACAATACCAAAATAACAGGGATCTTGTTAAATTTATGAATTAACCTGGGGAGAATTGACATCGTTATGAATCTGGAACAACCTGAAAACATAGTATGTATTTTTATTTGTTAAAGTGTACGTTTTTCCCTTGAGAGATGTTTTAAAGATTTCCTCACATAGGTTGTTCACATTTCTTGTGAAGTTTATTCCTAAGTATTCTATCTTCTTTATTGCTATTGTAAATGGAGTCTTTTGTTAATCTTCTAACAGGTTTTTTAGGTACCTATGAAAGTTGTCAATTTTGTTTATTAGTTTTACATCCTGCCTACCTTATTAGGTTTTCTTGTTCATAGTAGTTTTTTTCTGTTAATTCTTTTGGATTTTACAGGTGTGCCAGTATACCATCTACGTATAAATAGTTTTATCTTTTCCTTTCCAGTTCTTTTATGTGTCATTTTTTTTCTCTTGTCTAACTTGCATTGGTTATATTTCCATGTATATCGAATATAGTGAAAAATAATAGTTGTGATACTGGGCATCCTTTTTTTTCCTAACTTTAGCAACACTACCATTAGTGTCTCCCATTTATGTAAGAGAATTAATTTTGTACTATGATATTTATATCTTTTTTCATGTTGTGGAAGTTACCACTAGTTCCTATTTTAATGTTTTTGTTTGTTTTGTTTTTAAAATCCAGAATGGGTATTGAATATTGTCAGATGTCCTTTCGGCATTTATGGAGATGATTGCATGATTTTTCTCCTTAGGTCTATTTGTAAACCAAAACCAAACCCCTTACCGTCGAGTCGATTCTGACTCACAGTGACCCTATAGATCTTTATATAAATCTTTTTTTTTAAATTGTTTTTTAATTGATGTAATTAAATGAAGTTTACATTTCAAGTTAGTCTCCCATACATGATTTTTTTTTTCTCTAACATATATTGTTATGAGACCCCAACTGCTCACCCCATTCTGCAACAGTGCACTCCTCCCCTCTGCCCCTGGTTCCCCATGAACATTCAACCAGCTCCTTACTCTCTCTGCCTTCCCCTCTAACCTCTGGACAGAAACCGCCCCTTTGGTCTCGTATATCTACTTGTCTAAGAGGCACATTCTTTATGAGTATCACTTTGTGTCCCACAGTCCAATCTAATCCCTGTCTGAAGAGTTAGCCTCGGAAATTATTTTAGTTCTGGGGTGATGGAGAGACCAGGGGCCATGCTTTCTGGGGCGCCTCCAGTCTTAGTCAGACCATTAAGTCTGGTCTTCTCACTAGTATTTGAGTTCTGCATCCCATCGTTCTACTGCTCCATCAGGGACCCTCGGTTGTGTTCCCTGTCAGGACGTTCATTGGTGGTAGCCGGGCACCATCTAGTTCTTCTGGTCTCAGGGTGATGAAGTCTCTGGTTTATGTGGCCCATTCAGTCTCTTGGGCCAGTACTTTCCTTGTGTCTTTTGTGTTCTTCATTCTCCTTTACTCCAAGTGGTTGGGACCAATTGATGCATCCTAAATGGCCGCTTGCAAGCTTTTAAGACCCCAGATGCCACTCACCTAAGTAGGATGCAGAACATTTTCTTAATAAGGTTTGTGATGCCAGTTGACATAGATGTCCCCTGAAAGCATGGTCCCAGACCCCGCATCCCTGCTACTCTGTCTCTC